GATTACTGTGTCAGCAAGAATTGCCCATTTCACTTAGGAGTATGATCTCTAGTTGCATCCATTTACCTATAAAATGCTTGTGTTTACCTTTTTTATAGCTGAGTAATACTCCATTACTTAAAAATACCACATCTTTTGAATCCATTCCTCAGTTGATGGGTATTTGGGTTGTTTTCAAGATTTAGCTATGAGTAACTGCAATGCTGTAAACATGGGTGCACATATATCACTGTGCTATGATGTTTTCAGTTCTGAAAAATACTCAGGAGGGTAATTAATTCCTATCCTTTGGTTTGGAGGTCATGTATCACTTTGGTTGTTTTTGTATTGTTTTGTTTTTGTCTTCATTTTTGTTTTGTTAGTCTTTTCTCTTTGACTTAAAAAAAAATCACCCAATGTCTGGGAGTCACCAAACATATTTGTCTAAGTCTTGTATGTAATGAGAAGTTTCCTTGAAGAAATTTCACTTGAACTGGATGTGAAGGGGAAATAAACAGCGAATCTCAAAAGCCAAGCAGAGGTCAGAGTTCTTGTTTGAAGAATGAGGACATGGAAGAGTCTCATAGAAGAAGAAATACTGAATGTGTGAGAATCCAGTGGTGGCCAGTGCAGCTTAGACAGCTAAAGAACACAGTTCATATGAATATGTGGATTGCAGATGGAAACCAAATGTGTAGGACTTTTGATCAAGGAGTTTTGATCTTATTGTAATAATAACAGCCAACATTTATATGGTTCTTACTATATGGCTGGTACAAATTATTCTAATGTCTAATGTATTCACATTTTAATCCTAACACAGCTGTATTTTATACCAAGATTTTGAAAATATAAAACTTAAAATGTTTTACTTCTGCAAGGTAACTGTTGTTGTGAATATTAAGAAAAATAAAATGCTATAAAATGATTTTAGGCATAGTTAACATGGAGAATTTTGTCCTTCTAAAGGGTCATTCTTATTGAATAAATCCTGGAGAATATTCTAATAGGGTGTAAGTAGACATTTGTTATATTCCAGGCACCACTAGGTGATCACTTACATTATGATGTTGGTGGCAGATAGAGGGAAAAATAATGGTATTGGTGGATGTTTAGGAAATAATATCAGCAAGAAAAATGTACAATTGACCATACCTAAGGCATAGTGCTTGGCATCCATTCAGTCTGGTTGCTTAAATAATTACAAAGACTAGCAAACCTTCCATGAATTACAAGTCTATTCTTTCACTCGCTGATACCTTCATTTATTCATGAAGGTAAAAAACAAATCTGGGTAATTTGAACTCCTTCATAGCATCTCTTTCTAATACACACAAATTGTCACTGAGATCATCATTGGACACGGATACAGATGAAGTATTGAGACTAAAATGACATCAAAATATCAACAAAATTGAAAGGTGGAGTTCTACAATGCTGAGTGGCAGTAAGTGGTTTGCAACTGTCATAACAGGTTTAAACAACATGTGTGATAAAAGTCTATACTTAAGGGGCTTTGGCAAACAAAGCCATTAGGAAGAAGTGCAGCTGCTATTTCTGAGTAAATTAGTTTTTCACAATTTACCTCTAAAACTAAGAAGTAAAATTGCTTTTTTTTTTTTTTTTTTTTTTTTTGGTTTTTCTCCGGTACCGGGAACCAAACTCACCACCTTGTGCTTGCCAGGCAGGCACTTTTGCCGCTGAGCTAAATCCCCAGCCCCTAAAATTGCTTATTGGTAGCAAGTTTTGCAGATCTGTTAGATGTGTTTTTTGCTCAAGGGCAAAAGAATTAGCCCAAAATTATTTTTGACCAAATATATTGTTACTTAAAATTGTGCTAAGCTTTTGCTGTGGACAGACAATTCTGCTGATTGTTAGAAAATGAAAAGCTTGAATATCTTGAGGTAATATTAACAACATTAATATTGCTAGTAAAAGTGTCCGCCCAGTGTGATACAAGAAATGTAACAGGATTCTTTTCTATTGAGAGGATTTTATTTCCCCACAAGGCAGAATCTGAGTCTGAAAGATTTCAGTTTCGTCAGTACCATTCACCACGAGATTTCTCTGAGGTGCCGGGTTGCCTGCATGGAGTCCAGACTGGGCAGGCGCAGCACTCTGACCAGGCCTTAGGACTTCTTTTCTTTTGAATTAGCTCTCCACGGTGACATCTGCTGAGACCTCCTCTGCCACGTCATTCTCTCTGGGATATGCAGTTGTCATTTCTGGTCTATGCTCTTTCAAAGATACAAAATCTACTCATAAGCACAGTTTATCACGACAAAAACTATTGATAGTCCAAAGGCCAAGTGGGAATATAGCTCTTTCTTCAAAGCAATGGACTCTAACAAGTCCCTTGCTAACACTAGGTACAGAAGAGTGACAAGTGTAGCTGTGCCTAAATCAAAATGATACACAGTAAAGACCCTTGCTGTGGGGTGTTCTCAATAAAGAAATATAAGCAACCAATTAAAACATCAGTTCATTAGGAAACAAGCAAGAATGAAACACAGAGTCAAAGGAAAGTGAAAGAAGAAAAACTGAAAGGATGAACACATATTTATGTGAGGCTAAACAATATTTACATTTCTGCATTATCGATTATAGTCTGTGAAGAGGGGTAAGGATGTTGTCTGGCAGGTTGTGTTTGGGTCCAAATTAAGGTTTCTGCAGTATAATCATAAATGTGTCCCATGGACAGATAGGTAGTTATGGCTTCCTGGCTTCATATGTTGCATGCATTGCTTCACAATGTCATATCACAGTGTGCAGATTGTTGAAAGAGGGAAAGAGACAGAAGCCCAAATAACTTCTACTTAATGGTAAGAATAAATGTGTTTACAATGAAAAGGCTCTCCAGGCGCAGTACAATGAGGTTAGGGTCTGCAATTTTGCTGAACTGAAGAGGCGTTGCTTTCCCTTGGTTTTAAAAGTTTTTGCTCATTTCATTTGCAAGCAGTATGAACGAAACAGTTTCTGATAAACACCAAAGCTGTTCTACCTCATTATACTGGATGACAAATGAGATCTTACAGCTTCACATCAAATCAGTGGAAAAACAATTATCTGTAAGAAGTATGTGCAAACATTTTCCTACAAAGTGAAAGATTCAAGGCAACGTGTCTGGAATGCGTTTCTCCCTTTAGGCGGCCTGCATTCCATGAAACATCTGTCTCAATTTCCTCTCTTTCTGGAGCCTTCTTTTGGGTTTTCTGCAAATCCGTTCTTTTCTGACCCTACTGATGGAAACCATATGTCTCTCTGTTTAAGGAGATGCCCTGTCTTCACAGCTGGAGATTTCTGGCCAATCTTTATAGCATCTTCGTGCACGGCTCCTAAGATATCAAATGGTGCAGAACCTTTTGCTTTGTTTTCTTGCTTTAAATGTTTTAAAGTAAGCCTTAGCACATTCATTGATTCTTCTCAGCAAAATCTCTACAGTGAAGCGTGGAGCTGTGAATTAAATGAACCTAGGACAAGCAATATTTTTCTTTACTTATACCTCAGTAAGGACTTGTTGATTGCCTATTTTGCTATAGACTAGAGATATAAAGATAGAAGACACAATTTAACTTTTAACAACCAATAGAGTTGTTATGCATAAAACTGATGAAATGATTGTAGTACATGAGAGGAAAGATTGAAAGAGATTTTATGTAAGAACAAAAGAAGGTTCAGCATTTCTTATAGAGGCATTTTCATTTGTTAAGTGATATATTAAAATATATAAAAGTGGTATTAATTAATAAATAGAACTGTATAATCTTATGATCATCTGAAACAACCAGGAATTAATTAGTCTTGATAAATACCTTTTCATAGAGGAAAGTAGCAGTTTACTCACCATTTTGGTATGAAATAATTTAGAAAGTAATTTGTGTCTCTTTGCTTTTTATTAAGAATTCAAACAAAGAAAGTGCAAAGGAGCAAGAATCTATATTGATAAGGCCACAGGAGAATCTGAGATTTCTTGTAGTGTGGGGAGGACAATGGATCACAAAGAGTGGATCTTGGATGTTTCCACTCCTAATTTCTTGAACAAATTCCCATCCCAAGCTTATAAGCTCATTAGAGAAGAAGACATATACTAAGAAATATAACTGAAAAGATACTGAATGTTAGAGCAGGTAGCTGAAAGTGAGGGTGTGTTCTAAACTCAAGGTTTATTCAGAGAAGCAACAGTTTATTATATAAAAATGCAAATAAGAACAGGAGCAAGTATAATCTAAAGTTGTACAGCTGGATATAGTGGAAAGGCATAAGTTTAAATCTATCCTAAGGAATTTAGCAATTTAGCCATATCTTGTCTCACAATAACAAATAAAAACAATTAGAAATAAAAAGTGTGATCTGAAAATTTTCTGAACATTTTGCAAGTTTATAAATTTTATTGTCAAAGTTCTCAAGTTTAACATAGACAGTTTTTCTAGTACTTGTTTTTGAAATAACATGGAAAATACGTGATAAATTATATGCTGTATTCAAATCATGTCATTTTAGCATCACAATACATTTTATTTTAGTACAAAGCATGAGTTTTGGGAAGGAAAAGAATACTTGAATGTAGGAAATGAAAGCTTAAAAAGAGATAACACACATCTTACTGGTTATTATCTTCTAGGGAGTAGAATTATGGCTGGAGAGTGCTTTTGGAATTTTCTTTGCACACTTCTTTCACGGTAATGATCCATTTTTGCAATGCTGTATATTATTAGAAAACAATACGTGGGGTTCTTTAAAACCCATGAAATGAACAGACATAAATGATATTGGAAGAAAACATCAAGAAGACCAAAAAAGAGGTTTTGGAAAAAATTTCCAAGGTTTAAAAAACAAAATTCATTAGAAACAATAATAAGTCACTTAAACCATCTGTGCTATCCCAGCAGGCTGGCCAGATAGTGCTGAACTTCAAGACGTCAGCGACATCTTGTGGCAATGACAGGTGCATTTTAAATTGGTCACTGCTGTACAGGGTGACTGAGGTTGCCTGACTGACTCTATTCTGCCTTTTTCCCCAGGTTGAAAGAGTGACAGTGATGCCTTCAGGGAACAGAGAGCTCCTCACCCCAGCCCCACAGTCTGAGGAGGTGCAGGAGGAGGAGGGCGAGGAATCTACCCCCAGGTTGATAGATGGCTCTTCCCCACAGGAACCAGAATTCACAGGGGTTCTGGGCCCACACACCAATGAAGGTCTGGTACATTAGTGCTGAATTATAATTGAGTCTACTTTGTCCTGTCCTCTCTCCAGAACGCCAAGCTCCAGACTCCACAAAGACCTCACATTCCATGAAGTCTGCCCCTGAATCTTCCTTCCAGTCCTTCTCACGTTAGTCTCCTCACACCCCATCAGACAAAGCCCAGACACACCTTCTTAGACTTTTGGCATCTGTCCTTCTTCATCCTTCACAGTCAAGCAACTTACGAGCTTTGTCTACATGTCCTGTAAACTTTCCCCTCCCTCCCACTTTCTCCTAAATTAGCTGTCATCTGGCTTCTACGTTCATCACTCTACAGATTCTTCTTTCTGATTGCAGCAGAAAGCACTTCAACATTAAGAATGTGTTTTCCATCCTTAAGTTATCTTGCAGTTTAGACTCTTGCTTTTTTACTTTCTTTCAAAACTTTCTCTCTACTTTGCTCCATATTTCTCTGTGCCACTCTTTGCACTTGTGTCTGATCGCTACTTCTCTATTTCCTTTGGAAGTTTAGCATTCTCTACATGGTTAGTAAACAGAGAAGGAGGGGCGAGGACGTGTGTGTGTGTGTGTGTGTGTGTGTGTGTGTGTGTGCATCCATGTGACACAGAGAAAAAACTAAATTGATGTATTGAGATATAGAACAGCCTCATAAACATCTTCAGATTGTTGGCTTCTCTATCACCAAGTCACTAGCCTGATTTGATTTTAGAAATAATCTAAATTCTAAATTTTATCTACACTATAACTCATCTTCATTATTCACACTTGCCCTCTTCCGGTGTTCTCCCTCACCTTCCGGTAAAGTTGTGTCTTAACATGCAAATCAGATCCCGCAGTCCTCCTGCCTGTCCTTGAAATGAAGACAGAAACTTGTAACATAGCTCACAAGGCTCTTGCACAGGCCTCTGCCAAGGTCTCTTCAAGACAACTGCCATAGCAGACACATTCCAAGACTCGCTTGGTTTTAGCCACATGGGCCATCTTAGAATTGTTCCAAAGTGGAGGGACTTGATACGTGCTACTTCCTTTGTTTGCTTCCTTTTTAATTACACAAGCAATTTCTCCTCTTCCTACAAATACCAGCTCCATTATCATTTATCAAAAAAATGTCTTTTCATCACTCCCTGATGGCCAGATACCATCGGTTATGTTCATATGATGCCTTATATTGAGCATAATCAAAACCTAACTTTCTTGTGTGATTAACATTCATCTCACACAGCAGATGATAAAGTGGATCTGTGTCTATTTGTGCTCATTACTATTTCACTAGCTAGCGTGGTAAATTTACATAAAAAGTATTCAATAGTATGTGTTAAATTAATAAAAGTTAATTATGATTGTTATATTTGATTTAGTGGGAAGTTTAAATATTGAATCAGAGTTCTAATAAAAATATTATATGTGATACTTTAACTGTATAAAATGTGCACTCTTGGTCTTTATATTGGGAAAACAGAATTTCTAATTAGTATAGAAGTAACAGTCAAGCCATATCCATCCATAATTCAAAATATATTTTTAAAATGTTGAAGTAGCTTTAATAGACACATTGATTTTACTATTTCATTTATGGAAAATATAAGAGAAATGTGAAATATATGAGAATGTGTCTTGTGAGGCTGTAATCTTGCTTACCAAGTATTCCTTACTGGGTTATTTCTTAGAAGTTTTTTTACTTACATGTAATTATTTCTCTCTGCCTTTTAGACTTCCCAACCTGCCTACTGTGTGCTTGTATAAGCACGACTGTGTACTGTGATGATCATGAACTCGATGCTATTCCCCCACTGCCCAGGAACATTGCTTATTTCTACTCTCGCTTTAACAGAATTAAAAAGATCAACAGAAATGACTTTGCAAGCCTAAGTACGATGACAACATTAACGTCCTTCACTTCTTTTTTATGTTCTTCCTTAGAATCTGGACAGTGTAAAATGTTGGCACTGAGAACAAAAGTTGAATAACAAACTATGCTTCATAAATCAATTTTTTCTTACTGAAATATTTGAAAGTTTATTTTAGTAATGATAAGAAGAAAGAACCCGTAATTAATGGTCATTATGAGACCACATTGCTAGTGATATTCTCAAACGAGCCATTTTCAAGTAAATATAAAAATAATTGTAGTTTATATGCTATAACTTACTATCTTATGACATTAAGAGTAAAATATCATGATCATATATTTAGAAGGATTTGGTGCTTTGAACAAGCTGTAATTAAAGCATAATAATTTTATGGTTGATGATGTAAGCTTAATTCTGGCTTTATAGTTGTTGCCAACTTACAAGAATTTTAGTACTTGTCTTTGTAAAATAGTGTAATCACTTAAAGATTTCCTTTTAATTCCTGTATCTTTGGATATTCTTTCTTGAGAAAAACATTTAGAATAGTTAAAATCCAGACAAAATGTATGAAGTATGCTGAGAAAAAGACCAGTTGTTTTAAATCAAATGTGCCAAACTTTTTAGCAAATGTTGCAATTTCTTATAAGTGTATGAATACAAAGTGTGTCTGGAAAGATCATTTTTCGTAAAATAGCAGGGCTAATTATTTCATTAATTGTCTATTTCTAAATTTGAATTTACATTTTCAATACGTAGAGAATTTTGTAGTCATATTGTATCATGAAATTATATTCAAGAGTGTGTACTTCCTTCATTGTTTTCTTCTAGATGATTTGAAAAGGATTGATCTGACATCCAATTTAATATCTGAGATTGATGAAGACGCATTCCGAAAGTTGCCACAACTTCGAGAGCTTATCCTCCGTGACAACAAAATAAGGCAGCTCCCAGAGTTGCCAACCACGTTGACATTTATTGACATCAGCAACAACAGACTTGGAAGGAAAGGGATCAAGCAGGAAGCATTTAAAGTAAGTCTTAGGTTTCATAAGTGAGGCTTTCATCTTTCCCTTTCATTTGCTATTAATGGCGAGCTTTCTCTTTCTGTAATGGGATCAAATTTAATGAAAAGTCTAACTTCCAAAATGAACTTCACTACTGTATCTATCATGCTTTGAAAAATGCTGTGTACTGGTACATTCTGAAGATAGTCAAGTACTAGGAACAGCAAGAAAAAGAGCAAGAATAACAAGTGGGTGGCTGTGTAGAGGTGAACAATTTGCATTTGCCCAGAACTCCACTCCGAGAGAGTGCCTTACATGGTTGAAAGGATAACTACTTGGGAAGGATGCAGGACCAAAGGCTTCTAAATGACCCCACAAGGATCAAGTTAACCTTAGGGGTATTATTTTCTAAGTAAACTTCACAAGTCTCAAGCTAGAGGACTTGCTTGGAGCAGCAGCCTAGAATCTGAGAACATTAGATGATTGATTTTCTTATTCACCCTTATTCCTCCTTAAGTAAATGATGTTAAAATACTCTTTGAAGAGATCCCATGCTATTCCCAGGGAATACAGAGTGGGTAGTGTGGCCTCCTTAATACTGTTTCTCTGCTAGGCTTCCTGCCCATGTTTTGCAAGGGAATTAGGTGACCTGACTGTAGCCTACTAAGAGTCAGAATAGGTTAGCATGAATGATGGAGCGTCACAGTTTTTCTGCGGAGTTCAGCAAGAATAGACAAGTTATAGTTTAACAGTTTTCTGTCTTACTGAGCTGCCTTTTTCTTTGTGAGGCTACAAGTTTTTTGGGAAGAAGAAATTCTCATGTTTTCATGACTGTAAAATAAAAAAATAATTATGGCCATCTCTCATAAATATCATCAAAATCCTACTGTAAGTGGCTGCGTTGCTTCAATTGAGAAAATTATACTGAACATAGACAGGTTCTTCCTAGAGATCAGGAAATACTTTGTTTGCAGACATTTTTTTTTTTTTTTCTTTCTAAAACTCAACTGAATGGTCTGGTAACCAGAAAACACGACTTGTGGAGGCATGTATTATTTCATACATAGTCGCATAAAGAGGGGATTTCTGTTAAATTCCTACATTCGGACTGTTTACAGGATATGTATGACCTCCACCATCTCTACCTCACTGATAACAACTTGGACCACATTCCTCTGCCACTCCCAGAAAACCTTCGTGCCCTTCACCTTCAGGTAGGTGTATGGCAGCCAGAAGAGGTCAAAAGGCCCAGCCAAAACCAAACCAAAGGGAGGAAACTGGAGCACAAAAACCTGTCTCTAATGGCGTGCTGATATAGGAAGACAACTCTTCTGCTTTATCTTTTCTTTCTGTCACTCATTATTTCTGAGAACAAGATATATAATCACTCATGACCCTGTTGATCATGCTAGATTTCTGTTGATCGTTATCTTTATTTTTGTTCTTTTCCAAATCAAAATACAATGTTTTTGGTAGAAAGAGCTTCCCTTAAAACAAATCTGAAATCTTCATCTGATTTTTTTTTTTAAAAAGTAAAGATTAGAAGTAGAAGAGAAAATGAAAAAAGAAAAAAATCTACTTCTAGCCCAGGGAAAAATGTCAGTTTGAGCTTTGGATTTTAAGTTTTATGTACTCTATCATACTCAATCTTAAGGCATTCCTATTTGCTGAGAAATGACAAGCTTGCATTTGTTTGCATAAAGAAAATGCAGTCGTTTCTTTTCTCTGCTTTTCTTTTAACCAACATATTTGAAAGTTTGTGTTATTTTTAATACTATTAAGCTGTACTTTATCTTTGAAGAAGTAAGTAAAAACACATTTTCAAGAATGTTATGATCTAATAGTTTCTAAGTATATTTCATTTGTACCCAAGTGATTAAAATTTGCTCAACCAAAACATTTTTGGTTATTGAAACAAAGAAAGATAAATGACTCCTTATTCAAATGTGAGTAGCTTTTGCTCAGCAGCTGTAATCAGCTCTCTGCAATAATTTCATCTGCTCTATGGAATAAATATACAGAGAAGACATCTATTATATGCTCAAAGAAACATCATAGTCCAATGTTATAATTTCAAGAGAAAATGTATAAACCACTCTAAGATGTGATTTTCTATGTAGGAACACATGTACGGTTCTTACATTTTTCAGTGTAGACTCATATATTTGCTTCTTTGTCTTTTCTTTTTATTAATATATATTTCCATATTTTAGTGTCTTTTGAGTACATCTGGCTGAAGCCTGGATACCTGTCTCCTTTGAATTTTTATGATTATGTTTACTTCCTTAAGGTATTCTTTGTAGACCACATTTTTTTTTTTTATTTTAAAGATAAAAGGAGGGAAACATTAACAGACATACAACATTTTACAACATATCACAAGCACAATACAGACAGTACAGAGTTACAAACAAAGTGGTAGGGAATTAAAAATGGTGGTTGTATTACATATTGATATCTTCAAAGTGGCTTCTCATGAAAACAGATATAGACATGCAATACTGGTGTAGACCACATTTTGTTTCTAGATAATTCTTTATTTTTTTCTAGCAGCAAATTTATATTTATGTTTTTGCTTTGTTTATGATTGGAGACAGAATTGCCAATGGAATCATCAAAGAAATTGTGGACTGTGTTTTCCAGTTATGAACTAAATTTACTACTGTTGTCTGGGATATATGGAACCTACAAAGTAATTAACTCTGTGTTATTTTGGGACATAATGTGCTTGTACTTACAGTATGAGATACTGCTATAAGAGTCATTTTACCTATATTATATGGGATTATTGTATAAAATTTCCTTTATGTACACTTTACCTTTAGTTTCAAGCTGCTATAAGATTCATTTTACCTATATTACATATTTTCTTTATGTACTTACACTATGAAATGACTTTCTAAGTAACTGACCATACATTCTTTTTTTTTTTTTTTTCATACATTCTTTTTGTAAGTTTTGAGAAACATTAATTGAGCCTTTCAAAATGTTTCTCAGTCACTTCACCAACTTTTAGGACAAGCTATCAAAAATTTACTTTTCTTCAATCTGTATGCAATTTTAATACTCATATAAATTACATTATAAATGAATATGCAAAAATGTTTGTCAAGACAGTAAGTATAGCAATTACAACGGAGTACTTGGGCAAAAGAATGTTTACTAGAATGATGTTCTTCTACCAATAGACTGGCTAGCTACAAAACAGTAGTAAATAGCAGAATTTGGCAACACTCTGCTAAGACTAACAGGCATCCACAGAATATTTGATTCAACAACAGCAGAATGCATTCTTTTCAAGTACACAAGGAACATGTCCTGGTGTACACCTTAAGCTAAGCCACAAAACAAGCTTGCCTCAACAAATTCAAGAAACAAATTAGCACAAAATATGTTTTCTTATTTCAAAAACTTACATTAGAAATCAAGGAATCTCACAGGAAATGTGGGAAATTCACAAATATGTGGATATTAAACAACTTTCCTTAACTAATCGAAAAGGAAATCACCAAAAAGTTAGGAAGTAATTTGAGACAAATGGAATCAGAAAAACATGACAAGTTAAAATAGTTATTAGGAAGAAATTTTTAGTTGTGTTTTTGTGTGATTAATAATGGGCTTATACAATGGGTTAACAAAGGTTTCTTCTTAATTATTTTGAGTAGTTTTGAAGAATTAATATTACTTTTTCTTTAAAAATTCAGTAGAATTAATAAGTAAGTATATGATACTGAGTTTCCCTTAGAAGATTTTAAATTACTACTAAAATTGACTAAAAAATAAATACAAAATCTGAATAAATCTATAAGAAAGAAAAATATGGATCAGTAATTTAAAATACTAATCTCAATAACAAAAATAGACAAAGATATTACTAGAAAAGAACTGAATACCACCTAATTTCATGGAGAGTGATCAGAAACAGGAGAGGACTGCCTCATTGCTTCTATTCAGTATTGTACCTATCAGTTCTAGCTGGGGTAAATAAGCAAACATAAAATAAATACACAAACAAACAAATAAATGAGATCCAAATAGGACATAAAAGTTTTGCTATTTCCAGATGACAAGATTTATATACAGAAAAATCCTAAATACTATAACGCTTTGAACTAATAGATGAATGCATCAATGTGGCAGGTTAGAGATGACTATATAAATATCAATTGCATTTTCATGCATTATCAATACATGATATGAATACAGAATTAAAAATTGTATTTCAATAGTTAAATGACTTTAAATATTTAAAACTACATTTAACAAAAAAGTAGAAGTCTTTTACACTTAAAAGTACAACACATTGTTGAAAGAAAATTCAAGTAAAGATTTGTCAAAATTCATGGATCAGAAGACAGTATGAGAAATACTTCTAAAATTAGTTTATCCAGTGTTCCAAATTTGTTTCAATTTTGTTTACAGCATATCATAAGAAATCCACTAAACTTTTGAAATAATCAATGAGTTCATCAATGTAACAGGTTATAAAATCAATATAAAATATCAATTATAGCTCAATACACTGGCATTAAAACTACAGTGAGATATTTACACCAGTTGACTGGCTGAGTTAAAATAGAAAATTACTAGTATTAGGTTATAAACAAAATTGGAACACATATATATTTTTATGAGAGTCTAGAATGTTGTGTCCACTATATAAAACAATTTAATAATTTCTTTAAAATTGAACAGAGCTATTATATGGTTACATAATATGATGTCCAGATACATAAGGTATGATCAAAATACACAGTGAATAGTTAAGTGTTTTACAATTTATTACAGTAAAAGACACACTGCCACTAATCTTCCTCAAATTACCCCCCCCCACGCTTCAATACACTATTCCATCATTCCTGCTACTTTCTGAAGCATTTCTGGAAGTCCTCTTTCTTGAGTTTCTATATGAGGTATGGTAAATAAAATAAAACAAAAGAGTGAACATTGCTGCCAAGTGCCAGCCAATGGGAAGAAGGTAGGTTTGAAAAATATTATAAATATTTATATATTTGTTATATACACCACCTTATTCACTCTATCTGGTACTGTATAATTTCTGGTTCTTTCTGAAACACAGAATGATCATGATCATGAAAGGTAAGTGCTTTGAATCAATTCAAACTTAAGACAGCCATGATATGCAGCTAAATACGGGAAAGAGGACATCCAGAGTTGCTTCAAAAATTAGCAGTAAAGTTCAGATAAGCGTGCTAAAAGCAAAGAGTATTTGAGGGATATTAATGGCGATGTGTGTTTTACTGAAATAGATCTTTAAAAATTAAACATCCACTGTAATTTTATTTTTTTTTCTTTCTCTTTTGGTACCGGGAATCAAACTCAGGACCTTGAGCTTCCCAGGCAGGCATTTATGACCCTGAGCTGTATCCCTGGCCCCTCACTGTAATTTTAGATCCTACTTCATGTGCTCAAGAAAATTAAAACATGTTTCCACACAAAACTTGTGCAAAAATGTTCACTGAAGCATTCTTTATGATAGCTATAAAACATTATTCATAAAAGTCAATGTTAGATTTGAAAACAATCCAAATTTTCATTAACTGATAAATAAAAATATGTTATATCAAGACAATGCAATACTCCCTGGTAACAAAAGGAATAAAGTACTGATATTTGCTACAATATGCATGAATTTTGAAAACATGATGTAGTTGAAAAAGTCAGTCACAAAAGATAAAATATGACATGGCCATGGCCCTTTTTATATGGAAATCCCAGAGGAGAGAAATCCACAGAAACAGGAAGTAGCTGAGCAGTTGTCAGTGAACTGAGGAAAGGATAAAATGGAGCTTTATTGCTAATGTGCTGTATTTGAGATCTCTTTTGTAGGTGCTGAAAGTATTCTAAAATTATATTTCAGTGATGGTTACACAATTCTGAATGTATTAAATGATTAAATCGTACACTTTAAGCATAGCACAAGAATTTTATAGAATGTAAAACATATTCACAAAAACTATTTTTAAAATTCCAGCCCTGGGCTCCACTTGTCTTTCTGATATTTGCTCCCTTCCTCTTTCATGTCACTTCAGCCTCATCCAGTGACAGGTGAATTGTCGAGGGGGTGACTTGACATGTTACCACCTCGGGCCTTGAACTTTGCATTTTCCGAGCCTAGAATACACTTCCCTTAGTTTTTCGCATGCCTGTCTTCTCATTCCTTTCTCTGTTCAGTTGTTACATCTTAAGATGTTTTTACAGCCACCGTCCTTTCTTCATAGCAGAGTGGCACCTCAGTTCACAAACTTAATTCGTTCCACAATTCTGGGGAAGATGGCTACATTCATGTCCGTGCTGGGAAGATTCCCAGGGTCTTGTTTGTCACCCGATGTAAAGTTTGTGAACCAAAGCAAAATTTTGCATAAAGCTTCTGTTTACAAACCAAATTGTTCGTGAACAGAAGTCTTCACAAACTAGTTTTACTGTACTTGTCATTTATTATTATTATTATTATTTTTAAAATTATTCTCATTTACTTATTCTCTGTTTCCCTTACTGAAGTTTAGGCTCTGTAGAGGAAACTGTATAACTGTTCTGAAAATATATTCTCATTAATTGGCAAGAGCATGGTATATAATATTCACATAATACTTAGTTTTGGTTGAGGGAAAAATAAAAGAATAAAAATATATGTTCAATAATGTAAATTACAATATCAATTTTAAGTATATGTTACACATTGTCTTATAATTTATTTTATTTTATTTTAGAATAACAACATTCTGGAGATGCATGAAGATACTTTCTGCAATGTTAAAAATTTGACATATATTCGTAAGGCCCTAGAGGACATTCGATTGGATGGAAACCCTATTAATCTCAGCAAAACTCCACAAGCATACATGTGTCTACCTCGTTTGCCTATTGGGAGTCTTGTCTAATTTCAGAAAAGATAATTAGCCTTATGAGGTCTACCACATCAAAACGATTCTTCTTTCCTCAAAAACAATACTTTAGTGTGGTGACATTTTCACATTGTACGCTGAAGCATGACATGATTACACAAAGTACAACTAAAAGTGGTAAGATATGATGAAAATCTAGTAATTTAAGAATACATCAGATGAGCTAGTAATAAACCTACAAAATATATAGAAAGTATGCTACAGGACAGAACATATTTCATATTAATTCTTACAAATCACTATAACTTGCAAGTTTTAGGATTCATATGTTATCTAATTTCAAATTAAGTATATAATGAAGAAAACTTTGAAATTGAGCAGTTAGGTATTTTTCAAAGATTTAGATGTTTGAATTCAACTTTCCTAAATTTTTTTCACTAATGCATGTTTTTTCCTATTCATTAAAGAGCATGAAGAAAGAAATAAATGTTTGAAAATTAAAATGGTTTTGTGAGGATATATTTGTGATACTTGCAACAATTGTACCCAAATAACTGTCTACAACAATACCTTAAAGTCAGCTTTTGAATGATAACATATTATCATGTAAAGCACTGGAAATTCATTTTAGATCTTTGCTAAATTTATTAGGTACTTGGTATGTTTTTGTGCCTGCAGAAAAATAAAATGTAGAACTATCAAAAATATGGATAATATGATAAGCAGACTAGGACATAATAAACATTTTGTTAGAATAGCTGATGTACCTAAAATGTATGTAGTTATAATACCGGCATCTGGTTAAAAACTGAAAAGCAAGAAGACCTACAATGAAAGGTGTGTTTCTTTTTAGCCATGAGATACCCAGTTTTACTCACTAAAAATAATGGTTTCTTGGACACCCTTATGAAGTTCTCCCTGAAAAACAAAACTTTGCATTCATAATCTCTCCACTTTTACACAAATACAGATATACTTGTGCTACATTTATTCAGGTACCACCACATAACATTCCATTACATGAATGAATGTATATATTTTGCATTTACACCAAAACTATAAAAATATTCTTGCTTGATGGTGAATAACTTTGTGTAGTGTGGGAGAGAGCATCTGTGAATAAATTCACAAAACCAGAGTTCTGTGTAAATTATTATTTAAAATGTTAGTAAGTTAGTAAATTACCCTTAAAAGATATTCTACACACTTATACTTTCACCTACAGTATGGGAGAGTGTACCGTTCTTTACAACCTCACTGTTAAGGTTTACTATCAAACTTTTTTCACACTTATGCAATCTAAGTTAATAAAGTCAAAAGGGACAATTGGAAATAACATTTTAAAATTCAGTATTTTTCATCTATTTCTATCTTTCAATCAAGTATATATACATACATTTATGTCTAAACTAATTTTTCTCCTTGTATCATTTGTTATATGCCATTATTCATAGACATCGGAGCTAAATCTAAAATTTTTATAATGTAACAATCAGAGATCATTCTAAAATGTTCCCAGTTTTGGTATATAAATATTTTCTTGACTCAATTTAAAAGTATAAACACTAATGTGTCTTTGATAATACAAAGCGCATGCTAAAATGTGAATCTGAAAATCCCCAGAGGTGAAAAGCTTAAAAGACAATAACCAACAAACCATCAAGTGCCATAAACTAGTGACATTTAAAAACTGATTGAAAGACTTTTTGTTTTAACATTCTAGATGCACTGCATGTGCCTGTTATCTTCTTAACGTGACTGGATTAAGAGCTCTTGGGTAGATGACTGGGTTATCAGGACAGCGTGATCTGCAGTGGGATTAATCTGCCAGTGTGCACTGCTGACTGTGCTGTTAGGAAGTAGAGCTCAGTTGGATGAAGTGGGTCATGTGTGCACGACTTTGGGTATATTTCTAGTCTGCACTCTTCTTGTGCTCTTTCCCAGTGAGTGTTAAGGATGTGAAGGTGATCTGGCTGCGACATCTGTCACTCCATTGATGGCCAGGGTTGATTCGGCTGATCTGGCTGGCTAGGCAGGTATCTCCCTTCCTCCCTCAACGCTCCATATGCGTCCCTCGCGAAGCTGCATGCTGATTGAAGAGGACGACCACCCCCTGAGAGAGGAGGCCCGTTCCTCGGTCAAGGGTATATGAGCAGCTGCGCTCCCCTGCTAGAACCTCCAAACAAACTCTCAAGGTCCCAGTGGGTGTTAAGTGAGCAGCTTTTTACACCACACTCTTTCACCATGATGTTTCTGCCTCTGAGGCCAGCGATCGTGGACTGACAACTTTCCAACCACGAGTCAGCTGAAACTTCTCTCCAAGTTGCATGTGTCAAATGTTTTTGTCCGAGCAATGGGAAAGCTTACCAGTAGGCTTTCTTGTGACTGAACCACATTATTCTGAACCATACAAAAAGTAGTTTTTTTTCTACTAACATTGTGCATCTATATTTGTTTTCCACTATAAACTAACAACAACATCAAAATCATCAACTTAAAAAGTATCTATTGATTATCTCGGTTTCTCTACATTGGAAGTTCCACAGCGGGAAGATGTGGAACACTAAGCACTTCCAACCTCACTGAGATGGTTGGGAGAATTTGTTCCTAGTGGTTCTAGGTTTGAATGAGGCCCCTAATTCCTTGCTGTCATACACAGCCCTTTATTTTTCCTAAAGGATGCCCGCATTTCTCATTACATGGCTCCTTCCATCTTTAAGCCAGAGAAGATATGTCGAATTTTACTTGTGCTTCTGACCTCTCTCATTTACTTTTCTGCTGTTACCCAGAGAAAATTGTCTGCTTTGAAAGTGCTCACTTGATCGTCAGACCAAACTGGGTAACTTCCATATTTTAAGGTCAAACAATTGTGACTTTAATTATATCTGCAAAATTTTACAACCCTATTCTGTCAATAAATGTTTGAATAACCAGAGGTCAGAAATCTTGGGCCTACTACTTTTCAAATTCTTTTTATCGCCATCTCCAAAGGCTAGCATTGTGAAGCAAATGGTGATCCACCATGGACAATGACCTCGGTTTTTCCCCTTAAGTCTTCTTTACAACAGAAATCATGGGTGGGTAGCAATGGTAATGATAAAGAACCATAAGTAATATTTAATGAAACCATTTTACCATTGTATCTATAAATAGAACAGTTCTTTAATCCAGTCTTCATAAGGGCAAGAAATCAGATGTGCAAAAACCACTGATGTCTCCAGTTCTGCTTTACCAAGCAGGCATCTAAATGGATGATTTTGTTGTAGTTCATTTGCTACATTTGAAGAAAGAGAATTGCATTATCCTTAGAAAAAATGAGATATTTTAACATATAGAAATATTTTTAATCAATACTATTTTTCAGTGTTCCTTTGGCTTTACTTTGTGAGAAATATAGGAGAAAGAAAAATACTGAGCTAAATGACATGCATATATTTAATAATGCTTAGTGGTCCACACTGTGACTAGACAAACTAATGACTATTATGCCAACTTTATACTGTGCTACTTAAAATATTAAGGTCTCTGATGCATTGCTACTATAATAGAGAAGATGATAAAATGCAAAAGACCATAAGAATGGCCCATATTTCAGTGGATAGAGTCAGAAAATCATATTTAGGCCTAGAGTTTAAATTTGAATAGTGTTCTGTTTTAAAGTTAGGACCTCTTCAGTTACATTGTTAAAATAGCCAGTAATCAAAGTATATGCCAGGTATATTAAATCACAAGTTCACAGTTGGAAAAAATGAATATAACAAGTCAAAGACCAAAAAAGAGATAAATAATTTCTCCTAGGATAAGGGTTGAATCTTTAGTCCTCTCTATTCTACCTCTTCAGTGTGTCTTAAATGACACAGACCTGTCTTCTTGTTTTGTAATATAAGAAAATCATGTAGAGAGCAAATAGGATTGTCCAAATCAGCCTTGTCTCACCACATATAGCAGTGATTTCCAGATGATCCAAACTCTACTTTTAAGTGAAGATGGAAGAACTATTTCTGGGAGTCAGAAGAGTCCTTCATACCTAGCATCTTAAAAGTCAGCAGGAAGGCGGAAGGGAATGAGGGTCAAAGAAAGCTCCTAGCAGGCAGGGCTGCTTCGTCACTACAGAGAGTAGGCATACTAGCCCAGAATCATTTGGGGGACCTACAAAAATGTTCAGGTTCTTTATAAAATAAAGAGAGGATATGATGATGATGATAAAATATGCAATAATAATCTGGGAATATATTCTTTATAGAAACAAGCATTAAAATATGATTGTATTTATGGAGGAACCTATTTATAATAAGGCCTCACCTACAAGGCATTATTGATGATATCACATCCTCCAGACAATGACGAGAATTTGTAAAAAAATAAAATAAAATAAAATAAAATAAAATAAAATAAAAGCTGGCATAACAGATATTACTATACAAATTTGATAGTGTGCAGTGATATTTGGACAGATATTATGACTGCCTCTGGGTTTTGGCTTGTATCTAGATGTTCCCCCAAAGCTTCATGTGCTCATAGGTGGGAGTCTGGGGAGGTGATTGGATCTAGGATGAGTGGTTCTGGGATTAAATTGTGTGATTCTGGGATTAAATTTTGTGATTCTAGGATTAAGGGTGTATGGTTACCAAATTAGTCCACTAATTGGTCTAGCATAGTTCTGGGCATGAATAATGGAAAAGTCCACCCTGCGTACAGGTGGCACCACTGAAAAACCAGGTACCCTGGAAGGAATAAAGAGGATCAGTTTCTGCTGCTGCCGCTGCCGCTTTACTGTTTCCTTGCCATGAACAATTTCTCCTCTGAAATGCCCCTCTGCTATGCCATCCTGCCTTGGAACCAGACAATTATGGATTGAAACCTCCACAAACTGTGAACTGAAGTAAATCTTTCCTCCTTTAACTTTTGGAGTTAAGTATTTGTCACAGCAACAAGAAAAACAACAAAGACCCTGGAAGGAAAAGTCTTACGTGAATCATAATTTGGAACTGTGTGGCCATTTCAAACATCTCATCCTTTTAATTGACAGTTCTAATTCTAAAATTAGTACCTGATTAAACACATTTTTAAGTGACCCAATTTCTCATCCTGTTCAATTTATACATGTTTATTTCTTTTTTACTATTACAGGTTGTTTCCTAAAAACACACACACACACATATAGACACACACACACACACAAAAAAAAAAAAAAAAAAAAAA